ATCTCTTACAGTACATGGCAAAGCACATGGATCAGAGGCTGCTTGAATCTTGCTGTTGAACTTAATGGAACATTAAGGTGAGTAACTGGAATTGCATGCCATGGTTTGGGGCATGGGGAAGGAGAAAATGTCTTTGCTATTTTTTGAGTACTTAAGATCTGCCTGTGAAGTGGGATGTTTTGTGGTGGCAGGCAAATGGCATTGGTATGAGCTGTGGAGTGTACTAAACAAAGGCAGGTAAAATCTCTGTGCCTAGTGACCCCTGTCCATTTTAGGATCATGCTCAGGCTGTGGTTGAATCCTGCTTCGACTGTACCATCAAGGTAGCCACAAAATAACTGGGCTGCTTGATGTCCTATGTGAATCAAATAACGGACCCCACAAATACCAGGATTTCATCCTTTTCCTGGTTCTGACTTTTATCTCTGCAGGTAAAGGCACTTGAACAGAAAGTACAACTGATGCCCCTGCCCAGAGCCTAGATCTCCTGCAGGTGGCTTGCCCCCTCTACTGGGCGGGCTTTTCCAATTGCTTGGAAATGGTGAATATAGGTGGGCAGATCCCGCTTGCTTGGAAAGTCGTCTCAAGCGGGTGCTTCTGTATTTCTTTCTGTGAAATAGAGGTGTGTTTCTTCTGGCACTCGGTGCGCTTAGTCTTCCGCAGCATGTAAGATGCTCAAGGCTGATGAAATAGGTAATCTCTTTACAGAATTTTTTTAAGGATAGAATTTGGTTGTTTTGAAGCAGACTGAGGGGAAGAGGCTCTTTACTGGTAGCATAGGCGGGAATATAGTAACTTTGTGCTGCTGAAGTTCAGGTTTCTGTTAATCCTAGTTGATGTGCAATGTCAGAAATCTTTTTAAATCAGAGTGAGTAGCAGGAGGGGAAACCTTTTTTGCAGACCAGCATGTTGAAAGTCGAGACTGTTGTTACTGTGATGATGACAAATAGATCTTCAGTTGGTAGATGAAGGACTGCTTTCCTTTAGCAGCTCTTAAAATGGGGCAGACTATCTGTCATTTCATCCAGTCACAATTATGGTGTCTTGTCACTGCAAAACCAGAAGACTGACCTACTGACTTAACTTTCACAATTTCTACAGATGTGGCTTAATTTCTGGTTTAAAAATAACTCAAATATATAACCTTGGGTTTTGTTTTTTTTGTTTGTTAGCTTGTTTGCTTTGTTTTGTTACTCTGCTGGTGGTGTTATTGACTATATCTTTTGCTTCTTAAAATTGGTTATACAGGACCAGAGAGTAGTGGCCTGCAAGCTGTAAAGATTTGTTTCTTCATTATTGGTACATAGGTGAAAGATGTTACTCAGCTTTAAAACTGTAAAGAATACTAGTGCTGGTCTCCCAGCACAGATTCTCCAAGGTAACAGCAGTACAGTTCTGTGAAGAGAAATTGCCATCTGTGCAAATGGGTAGGCGTAGGCTGGAATGGTATGTAATATCAAACATGTCTCAGATACTAAAGTGGAGCCACTCGCTAGCTTGTTGATGTTGTGCAAGAGATGGAATGGGGACAGCTGTTCTTTTCAAGGTAATATTCCAAATGTTGTTTCACTACACCCAAAGCTTCATGGAAAGAGGTGTAGATGAGGGTTGCCTAAGTTAGTCTGTTGCTACTGATCATCTTTGATAGGTCTGTGAAACATCAGCATTCCAAAGTGACTTCATGAACTATGTGTGAAGGATGAGTACTGTGTCCCAATCTCAGAAATATCACTGGATTTTGGCACAGCCATTAGCACTCCCATGGAAGGAAAACACACTGATTGGCTTCTGTAAACTGTTGTGTCAGCTTGCTGACAACTGGTGTTGATTTCATAGAATCATAGAATAGTTTGGGTTGGAAGGGACCTTTAAAGGACATCTAGTGCACCCCCCCTGCAATGAGCAGGGACATCTTCAACTAGATCAGGTTGCTCAGAGCCCTGTCCAACCTGACCTTGAATGTTTCCAGGGATGGGGCATCTACCACCTCTCTGGGCAACCTGCGCCAGTGTTTTACTACCCTCATTGTGAAAAATGTCTTCCTTATATCTGGTTTAAATCTACCCTTTTTTACGTTAAAACCGTTACACTTTGTCCTATCGCAACTACCCTTTGTCCTATTGCAACAAGCCCTGCCCATCTTTGTTACAAGCCCCCTTTAAGTACTGGAAGGCTGCAAGAAGGTCTCCCTGGAGTGCTCTCTGCTCCAGGCTGAACAACCCCAACTCTCTCAGCCTGTCCCCATAGGAGAGGGGTTCCATCCCTCTGATCATTTTTGGGGCCCTCCTCTGGACCTGCTCCAACAGGTCCATGTCTCTTTCCTGTGCTGAGGGCTCCAGAGCTGGACACAGGACTACCAGGTGGGGTCTCACCAGAGCGGAGCAGAGGGGCAGAATCACCTCCCTCCACCTGCTGGCCACTCTACTTTGGATGCAGCTCAGGATATGGTTGGCCTTCTGGGCTGTGAGCGCACATGGCCATCTCATGTCCAGCTTTTCATCCACCAGGACCCCCAAGTCCTTCTCGACAGGGTTGCTCTCAACCCCTTCATTCCCCAGCCTGTACTGACACTGGGGGTTGCCCTGCCCCAGGTGCAGGACCCTTCACTTGGCCATGTTGAATCTCATGAGGTTCACATGGGCCCACTCCTTGAGCTTGTCCAGGTCCCTCTGGATGGCATCCGGTCCCTCAGGCGTGTCAACTGCACCACTCAATTGGGTGCCATCTGCAAACTTGAGGGTGCACTCAATCCCACTGCCTATTTTCTTTCCCTTCCCTTCTGCACAACTCTTTGCATTTGGGGGTGGGGAGAAGTTCTTATGCTTTGAAGTCAAAAACTGTAAAATCCAGAAGTATGGAGTCCAATGAATGATTTCCACACAACATTAACGTCTTTAGTTTCACACCTACAGTGTTCCCAAGATTATAAATTAACCCTCCTAGAATTTGTGCTTAATGTATTTCTTACTCATCAGAATGAAATGTTCTCCAAAGGTGTAGTGCTGTCTTGGGAATCTTACGAACTTCCCTTCCCAGGGCAGTTGGTGCCTCCTGGTGAGTGGAAAAGTTTATAAAATACCCTGGTGTAGCACTGGTGTTGCATGGTTGTTGGATGCACTCTGTGGCTTCTGGCCTCTGTAAGGTGAGCTGGATCTTCCAGTTAGTGAGCTCATCTGTCCTGATGTGTGAATAAGATGCGTGGTAGGAACGTGGTGGAAGATGATCAGCATTGGAGTGAATCAGCAGGGTCTTGTGCAAAAGATGGAGTTTGAGCTCATCAGCTCAATTGAGCTCAATTGTCATGAACTCCATGAACTGGGCTGTGAGGAACTCCTCATCTGGAGTGGTGAATTCGGAGAAAGTGGCAGACTTCCAGTTTTAACATCTCCATTCCCTTTATTCACAAGAACTGGGAATGTTTTTCTCTTTGTTCAGAAAGATGTTGTCTCAGGACAACTCTTCTTCTTCAAATGCCTTTCATCCACTCCTGCTCAAGTTTGGGAAATTATGCAATATCTTTATCAGTAACATGCTTTTATCTTGATCTATATACTGTTAAGTTTAGGGCCCCTACAGCCTCAGTTCCTCAATCTCTGGTCCTTGCACCAAGAACAGGCCCTGAAGTTAGGTATGAAGTACTTGTTTACAGTTTGTTGCATCACCTCTTATCTGAGAGGAGGAAGGTCAGTAGCCTGGTTAGGACACCGATAGGTCTGTGTTACACAGCCACCGTTGTTGTGGTCATGAACATGCTTGATTCTAGCCAGTTCCCTAATGCTGATTGTAGCAGAAGTGACCATTGCCTGTGTGCAGCACATATTCTCATGTCACCCACTGCCATGTACCCACCCCTAGGGACTAAAAATTGTCTGGTCTGTTGCTACTTCTGTGGTTCTGGAAGAACATTCCTCCCACTTGGTGGAGATGGAGATGTCAGGAATACCAAAGGGGAGTAGTTTTTCTGTGGTCTTGAAGTGTTGGTTCTCTCTTAATGGGTAGGGCTGCTAACAGTTACTAGCCTTTCCTCAGTAGTTTGGATGTGTTTTGACCTTTGTACATTCATATATGGTCATGGCTATGACTGTGTCATGTGTCTGTGGCATAACTGCAAAACGAATACTTCTGACTCTATATTCTTCATGTTACGTATTTCAGCAACGTGTCAAATATAAGTACCTTGAAATTAGAACAGCTGTTGTGCACACACAACTACTGTAGTGAGGGGGATCATACTTCGTCTGCCAGGAAACTGGCACTAGAGTTTCAATAAAAATATAAATGATACTGCATATTCTGTTGTTATTATGATTGCTTGAATGCAACCATAGGTTTGATGGGGAACAAGCAGAAATAACTTATTAGCAATACTTACCTGAACCTAGGATTTAATTTTTTCCCTTCTGGTTCTGAGTGGGAATCTTAGCACCTTTCTGGTCAGGCAGAGAGAGATGAAGTCCCTGAAAGTAAAATGCAGTCTGCTCCTGTTTCCCACTTGGAAGGATATTGAGACAATACAATTTTCAAGTTGAAGGGACCTGCACTAAGGAAATTACTGCATGCTTTCTTCTGATCTTGAATGGTGTTGGGAAATACTGGGTGTGACACTGATCCATTTCCTAAGTGCATAGACTAGTCATCTGCATATGGGTGGAGAAGCAAGAGGTTCTAGTTGCAGCCCAAACCAACTGTCTTAAGATGTGGGTGGCTGGAGGCTGTTGTTTGTTTTTCTTATTGATGTGGAGACTTAACATACATTTAAGATTTTAAAATGCCTTTTACATTTAGTATTCTCAGTGCTTTACATTGCTTTTTTTTCCCCCCTGTTTTCCCCATTTGTCTCCTTCTTCAGTTCAGTAATGGTAGGCTCCATATGTTACAGGTCATATGATTCCATGACACATGTAGAAGTATATATAAGAGATGCCTGGTGACTCTGCTCAGACTGTGCTAAATTTCCCTCTTCAGAAGCACCCGTCGTTTCAGAGAAGTTACCTGCCACTATGATGCCTGGGGGCTTATCTGAGACCAAGCCCGCTACTCCAGAAGTCCAGCATATTGTTAACCAGGTGAGTTGTGACCTCGCTAAAGATGAATTCTCTGTGTGCAAAGGGCTGAGTCCTGAAGCTTGTGTAAAGGCTGGGAGAACAGGTGGTGATACTGAACCAGTGTTTAAACTGGAGAAGCTAGTGTTGAAAATGGGAATCTCCTTGATTGCCAGTAAGTATTTTCTCAGCATACTGCATAGGCAGTGTACTGGCAAGACCAAGACAAACTACTTCTCTGTCTCATCCTTGTCCATAGCTGGGCAATAGCACTGGCTACCTTCAGTTAATGTTCGCGTGTAGTTCAAAGACCAGCTCTATTATGCCAGCACTGAGGTCACTTGTTTGAAATTAAAGGTGGTGTATTTGAAGGCAGAAGATTGTACTTGGTAGAATTAATTCCTCACTGAAGGACATGGGTAGGACAAATCATATGGTAGTATGCATTAAAAAAAGATATGTAAAGGACAAGGCTATGGATAAATGGCATGTTCTCTGCAGGCATCTAGTGTTTTCTAGAGTCCCAGCTGTGATGCAGGGGCTGCTGATTGAGCCAGTGGGGCGAGGTGAGCTTGGCACAAGGCAGGCAGAGTGAGTCCAATTACCGTGGTGGTTGGTTACAGGCAGCGGTCCTGTAGTGGAAGCAGCTGTGTGAACAACACCTCTGCAGATCCTCTAATGCCTTGCAGTGCAGCAGCTCTTAAAAGAGTATAAAGTGCTTCCTGAGGAGTGGAACAACATGGCATGGGAAAGCTCCTTTTGTGCCTCCCATCTCCTGTTCCCACCCTCCCACCCAGTTCCCTTCACCCTCCCAGCTCTGAAAGATGAGCTCTTCCCCCTTTGGCAACTGCACAAAGCATAACTTACCCCTCCTTGAGGAAACAAAAATAGGAAGTAGTGGGGCCGATACTGCTGCACACTCCTGTGTGTGCAGGGCTCCAGCTCCCTCTGCTGTGCCACAGGGGACAGAGCTTGCACTGGCACCATTCCTCATCTCCTGCGAGCTTGCAGGCTAATACCAGGCAATGATGAAACCAGCCGAAGGTGGGCTGTGCTGTGCGAGCGGAGAGCCACCATGAGAGATCTGTAAATAGGCGGTGTAGACTGATGCCAGAGTCCAGCACTCTGACCAGGTTCTTTTAGATATCCCACACGTGGAGGGTATAATGTTTAATATCCAGTTCACTTACTTGAAGATACTTGATGTTACATGAGGTTTCTGATTTAACAGAGTGATACAAATAGACTGGTAACGCAATACAGATGTAAGTTAGTCTTAACAAAATACAGCAATTGCAATACACAGTTCAAGCACAGTACCAGTGTGATCTCCGTTACTGGTCTCTATAATATGCTCGCTGTCATGATGCTGGGCATCCTTAGTCACCAGGAAGGAGTATGTGGGTTGAAGCCAGCTCAAGCCCACTGTTGTCTTTGAAATGCTTTTGTTCGTTGTTTAGTTTTTATATTCTGTGTTGGGCAGAGCCACGTATTCACTCCCCCCATGCTGGTCTGGCTAACTCAGGGAGGTGTTCACATTCTTTTAATGAACTCGGGGAGTTACACCACCAGTTGATCCATTCAACTGACATAGTTGCTTATCTAAATGAAACAGCCTCTGGTCCCTTTTGTGTTGAGATAAAGTCAGTTTCTTTGCAAAAGCTGTGGTCAGTCACACCCTGCATTATTTTTTGAGTTTCGTAGACACATTGCCCTTCCCCAGCTCCTCTGAGCTTTCTTCTATTGTTTGGCTTTATTGGTCAGTCACAGCTGGTGTTGCCAGTTGCGCGTGTGTATGTGGGGAAGGGCTGGAGTACATGTTGGAGGGAGGCATAACAGGTTTTCAGAGGGGACGTAACTTACTGCAGAAGAGAGAGAGAAAAGGATTTATCTAGAATTGTTTGGTGGACACAGATTGAATCACTCAGGAGCAGTATCACTGTTCATCCTATGTTGGCACAAGTATTTGAAGGAGCAGCGCTTGCAGAGATCAGAAATTCCCTTTTTACCTATGGAGGATAGATCCTAGGCAAGGACTTGTGGCACATTTGGGTATTTGCAATTCTTATTTCCTCACATGTAAGACAGGGAGGGCAATGTCTCCTGCCAGCTGGGGGCTGTGAAGTTTGACTGATGAGCCTGTGAAATACCTAAGGGCCGCCTTTGAACACTACTAGGACAGTGTAGCATGCCAGATACTGACCTATGTTTTTAATGCTAGGCTGTGTTATGGGTGATCTAAAGATCCTACCCTACTGCAGTGTGTATCAGAGATGAAACCACGGTGCTTAACTGTCACGGAGCGAACATGCACTTTATAATGTGAACGTGTGTTTCGGGCTGTGCTGATGCTCCTAAAGTACAGGGAATCTGGAATGTGGATGTACAGATTTTCTGTTTGATTCCCAAAGAGGACTGATCTTAATTTCGTTGTTCCTCCATTCTCAGTAACTTCAGGAAAATGAGAACAAATTATTCTTTGCTCTATTTTTTGCAAAGTGAAATTTTTGCCTTGTGCTGAGCACAGGAGAGAGAACTCTCCCTGGTCCTTCTTCTTTGAAAAAGCTCACACTCCACTGCAGAGGCTTTGGTGTAGTTCTCTAAGGAAAATACTCTTGTGGAGACAGACCTTAAGTAGAGGCAGTCCTGCTCTGCTGCCAGCCAGATAACGGTGTCACCCTTTGATGATGCAATTCTGTGGGATTTTATGCTCTGCTAAGCAGAGAAGCAATTCATACGATTTGAGCGAAGTTGTGAAGAGCATCTGCAGACCTTGGGATGCCCAAGGTCTATGTGATCTTGGTATTATGTAATTATTTACTTACACCTGTGCGTTGTCTGTAGTCATCCTTAGTGAGCTGGGGGATGTTATTTATTCAGTCTCTTTATGGATATTGCCTAAAACTGAGGAATGTTTTGGGTTTAAGGAGCTGTTAGGCAAGATCTTAGGAATGTTATATTTTTCCATCTGAGGATTAAGGAGCTGTCTGCCTGCCTGATCTTACTGAAGGCTCTGTCTGTAAATAGCAAATGGGGGACATAAGGGTAAGAGGTTGGGGGAGGTTGTAAAACTGGGGAGAACTGGTTTTGTTTCGTTCTGAGAGGGGAATAACAGGTACCAAAGGCTGCCACTTAGGAGCATCCTAGGAGCCCTCAAACCCATCCAGCTGGAAGAGGGTTGGAAATTGAAGTTTCCCTGGTTTGCTAGAGTTAGCAGCTCCTGAGTTTAAAGTATAGCTGTTGGTTCCCAGGGATAGAAGCCCTGTGGAAGCTACTTGGAAGGAGAGCAAGAGTAAGAGATTACGAGGAGCCTGAATATGATGAATTGAAGGCATTGGATAATTTCTGACTGTCTGGAAATGGTTAATCTGGACATTACTAGGGTACTTTCTGGGACCTGCCTGCTAGGAAGGAATGCCATAGGAGTGGTAGCCAGTTGTAGGTGGATGTGCTGAGAAAGCAGATTAATTGTGTGCATTTTTGTGAAACAGGCGGGTGGTGAGAGGCATGGACATGCTGCCGGCTCCTCCCAGGGGCTGCCTGAGCAGGCTGCCGAGCAACGCTGCGGTCCTCTGCCTGACTTTGGAATGCCTCTGCCCTGTGTCGGGCCGTCGGCATGGGCACCAAGTGCAGAGGAGAGGTTTGCTACCCAGCTGCAAAAATTGTTTGCTTTCTAGATGACAGAAATAAGTTTTCGGTTTATATTCACTGCAGTTGCCTTTCTGCAGGGAATTTGTGTCATCAGATACAAACAACTATAGTAAAACACTAGTACATAAATCATGATGCCTCAGACACCTGTTCAGACTTCCACTGCTGCTGACAGCTGTCTCCCCTGCTCCTCCCCAGCCCTTTCAGCCTAGTAATTATAAAAATATTTAATCTCTGAGAGGACAGCATCACTGTAATTGCTGCTGAACTTAAAACTTGCCCTACACTTCCTGTGTTTTAGGAAAAACTGTTAACATTTTTAAATTTTTTTTTAAATGTGTGAAAAGTCTGTAGGTATCTGAACTGTGCATGTTTTAAGATCCACAGGGCTTAAACTGGGTGCTGTACATACCAGCTCAGGTAGATGTGTTTATGAATGCTGTCAGCACATCGTTTCTTCTGGAACTACATTACCTGCATCTACTACATAGTGAAGGACTGATGATGTTTATGCAGGTCTGGGGTTGATTTCTGACTCACAATTTAATGGTCACACTTCCAGTTTTGGAGATTTAGTCCTGGACCATTGTACCTATTACAGTTGTTTGTATGTTACATGGTTCTAGATGTTGAAGGGCATATTTAGTTTAAACTACAGTTTTAGCTGCAGGGCTTCCACCCAGCACTAGAATAACTTCCAGGAACTACTTGATCAAGGTGGTTGTCTTGATACTCTGTTTATTGCAAGTCCTTAAAGAAAAACATTGAACAGATAGAGTGCAGCTCTGAGGCTGTGAGAGATAACAGGGGTCCACAGCCTCCCAGGCTGTCATGGGCATAGGTGTTCCAGGTGAGGGGGGCTGACTTGCACCGCTCTATAACAGTGTGGTTGACATGGGGTGTACCCTGCTAGGGAGGGTGGCTTGGTACCTAGCTACTTTGCCAAAGAATTAAAAGGACAGCAGGTACCAGTTTCTCTATACTGAGCAGGAGACAGCTTAGTGGGACAGCTGTCAGGGTGAGGGGAAATCAATGAGGAAGTCTAATTCTAGCAGGATTTTAAAGAATACTGGAGGCAATGCTAGGAAGGAGGGCTGGAGGTCTTGGTGTAAATTGAATTATTTTGGGGGTTTTGCGTTTATTTCATTAAGGGTGTGTGTTTGAAAGGATGAAAATTAGAGTGGTAGATGTGAAAGAAAAGCCTAAATATGAACCTGCCACCCATTTTCCCTTTCTTTTTACAGGTGAAGCCACAATTTGAGAGCCGGGAAAACAGGACATATGACATCTTTACAGCCATAGTATATAGGACTCAGGTGGTTGCTGGGATAAACTACTTTATTAAGGTTTGTATAAGGAGTGAGTGCTTTGTAGTTAATATAGGTGACTTGCATAGTGACTTATAGCAAGAAAGAGAAGCAAATGTAGTAGAAAACATCTGATATGACTAACAGAGTTAGAGACTATCTCCAGATGCTTCTAAAATTTCTGTTTGGCACTATTGTAGAACAGGAATGTAAAAACTTACAAAACATGCACTGTGCTTCTTTAGATGTGAATGATAACTTTCTTAGGATCATCTCACGCAAAGACTATAGATTGCCTTATTGGTTCAAATTATTTAAACTAGTCATAACTCTGCTCTCCTGCTTCCTTTCAAGGAAAAGTCACTTTCCTGTTGCCTCTGTGTCCTCCAGTTGTGTTTATTATGATGAATTTGAAGTCGTCCTGAGGATCTGATGGAGAGTTAGAGTGAATTTAATTTAATTCTAAAAAAAATTTAATGCAAACATCTCATACTCGGCTGATTAGTTTTGCATGCAAGCATGCGTATTGATGTTTTGGTTCTGTGTCATGTGCTGCAGAGGCATGCTCTGCCTGCTAGTTCTTCCTGTATTTTCAAAAGCCCCTTTCTGTTGCAGAGGAAAACCGGGTAATGCTTAATTTGGAGCCCTCTGGTAGTGCCATTCATGCTCTACTAGAAAACCTTATCCACGGATTTGAACAGCTTTCTGCAAAGTAATGGATAAGAAATTGCAGGGCGTATTTTACAAGTGAAGGCCAGAAAGCATTGCTTAGTGGCAGGCTGGCTTTCTGGAAGTAAAGAAAACGTTGCATGTGACTGCTGTATCTTAACCCCACATGTGTGCAGATGTATGCCTGGTAGGATATGCTCCCTTGATAAGGGTCAGAATCTTTTTATTAAAGAAATTGGCAGGTAGGGTTTGGGGAATAGTCTCTCTGAAGAATTACGTTATGAGCATTTGTTCCATGCTTCTCATATTTAGTTGATCCAGGGAAGGACAGACACTGCCAAACCTTCTTCTTTCCCAGGCTCTTCCTTAAAATAACTCTTAACACCTATTTCTGCTCTGTGGGCACCAGGGGGTTGTATTGACAGACTATCTGTTATATGGCTAGTCTGAGTCTTACTTACATGAATGATGTTTATCCTTCCCTTGCTCCTATGAGATGGGCTTTCACTTTGTGGACAAACTACTAAGAAATGAAGAGTAACAATTTACAGGAAGACTGCAGTAAAACCAGAAGTCACGCCCAGTTGCATTTCTTCCCTTAGTGCCACCTTGTTGCTGACCTAGGCGATGTAAATACTTGTCTGCTGTCCATGTAGCTGTAGCCTCATGACCAGACTACTCGGAAATTAAGATTGAACTTGGAAGAAATCCATTTATAACACTGAAAACGGGTGATTTGTCTCTTCTTTCCCAGTCTTGCAAGTGTCAGGAAACAGTTATTCATTTTAGCATTAAGTGGAATGAGCTCTGTCACAAGAGTTATTCTTTTATACTCCTGAATTTTCCACATCACTAATATTTTACCAACAGACTTACAGCTGAGATGTAATCCAGACCAAGACAAACATAGCGCTGTGTTGCAGCCACCAGAAAGCACATAAACACCTCTTAGAGCCTAAGGCATTAAACTTTCCGGTAATACTGTATACCTCACATAGTGAGAGTTTAGCATCTGTTGTGGTTGACTCTGTATGTACAAAATTATACAACTTTGTGGCAAGTCTTTATGTGAGGTCTTTCTGGAGGGGAAGGTGAGTTTATTTTAAAAAGTATTTCAGGCACTCACATTCATTCCCACAAGCACCAAGTCATCTGTTCAGGCACTGATGTGTTTGCAGTAATTCTGAAGACAAGGGATCCTGGCTTTCAGGTTGTCACTGCTTCTTAGGGCCATGTGCCAGTTTTGAATAGATCTTTCTGTACTTTCTAGGAGCTGACACTATCTCTGCATTTTGCCTCACCCCTGAGTCATTGAGATTTACTCATTTTCTCTTATCTTCTACCCTGAGTGCCCCAAGAAGCTGTGAGCTGATGTGCTGGGATCTTGACGACCAGAACAGGATGTCATCAAAACCTTTCTCCTGTTGTGCCTTCTGGTGCTTCCACACCCAAGCAGCCCTACTCATTTTCCGTTCACATGAGTCTGAAGGTTTTAATCAGTGTTTTCTACAGGTGTAGACAGTTTCTGCCACCAGTTACTATCCAGACTTGGATTAAATGCTATTGAAGTAAACATGGAGATATACCTAAAATTAAGCTCCTGAGCAAAGATACTCTTGCAAGTATGTAAGAGCATCCTTTTGTTTGAACCTGCTTCACCCATGATCCTCACTTTCCTGCTGTTTTGGTTTCTAGGTCCAAGTTTCTGATGTCAACTATGTCCACTTAAGGGTGTTTCAGGGCCTTCCTCATGAGGACCAAGGTCCCAGTCTTGTCAGTTTTCAGACTGGCAAAACCAGAGATGATCCTCTGACGTACTTCTGAGAGATGATGTGGAATGGTGCCTCACTTCTGCAAAGCACATGTGGATTCTGCCTGTGTCAGTCAGTAAATGCAGGAAAATAAAATAAATTTTAAAAGCTCTTTGTTCATCTACTGCATGTCATGTCTAGGTCTGCTGCCTGGCTAAAGCTCAGGTAGGCTCTGAAATACTATTCAAGGCTGTTACAGCCATAGTACCTCAGGTGGAAGAAAGACAGAGCACACCCATTTCAGCTGCTTTTTCTAAAACACTGTCAAGCATGCTCTGAAGACAAAACTTGGGCCTCCTGAGTGTACTTTAGGTGTTAAGAGGCTATGTACTTCAGCATGTGGCTTCTTGGATTTGTTTTAAGTGCATTAAATACAAACTATTGGCCACTCCTCAGAAAGCGAGGTAGAGAGATAATTTCTGGAAAGGGGGAATGGAGAAGCCAAACTGTGCCCCCTTTTGTAAGTTTAGCTTCATTGTAGGGGAGCAGGGTGGGGAGCAGGAGCAAGCTCCTTGAAGGAGCCGACGCAGCTGAATCCCAGCATTCAGCCCCTGGAGCAGGGAGCTGACCTAGAGGGTGGGCTTCAGTGGAGACCTGTGGGACTCATTCGTCTGTTTTTTTGTTGTTTTTTTTTTTTTAAAGCATCAGCCAGCTGCGGTAAGAGCAGTCTTCAACTGAGCTCTGAGGTGACAAAAGTAGGGGGTGAGCCTAATCGACAACAAAAATACTTTCCTGTTAGCAGCTGTTTAGGTAGGGGCCTTTGAATTACCTGCCAGGGAGCTGGGGCTCGGGTATGAGACATTAAATGCATAAATAGGTTTCAGGCCATGCCTTGCTTGTATTCATGTTTTGGTGCTATAGTGAGGGATGGGTATGTAATTGTCACAGGCATATAGTGCTGAGAAAAATGTGGCAGCTGCCCATTTCTCTGCATGCCAGTATTCTGGATCAGATGTTTTAATCCCTCACAGTGTTAAAAGAGCCTGTAGTCTGTGTCTTTGAGAGTAATCCTTCCCTTGTACATCTAACAGAGTTTCCACAAGAGCTCAATCCTGCAGTCTAATGTTACAAATCCTTAAGATACAGCAAATTGAGCATTATCAACACTAACATCCTCTCACAGAGTAGCATTTGGAAAAAATGCTCAGTTTTTTTGAACTGTGAAAACATGGGGAGTTACCAGCAACAAAAAAGACCCTGTGTCTTCAAACCACTTTAGCAAAGCAAGAAGTGCCATAATAAGCCAGACTTACTCTCTCCCTTTATTCCCTATTGGAGGGGTGTGGGGGGGGACTCTTTGGGCTGATATAGGCAGAAGCATGTAAGCCCCCCTTCATAATTAGGAGACAGAACATGTTCCTAAGCAATGCTGTTTACACACACAGAGCACATCTGCAATAAAAAGGCCAGTAGCATGCACAGCAGTTCACCATGCCCTCTCTTCTCAAAGCTGCTTGTCCTTTCTTCAGTCTGGGGCCAAGGTCATGCAGCAATGTCATCCAGACATGGGCTTTTTCCCCTCAGTTCAGAGTGCAGCAACTCCTGTCCAACTCTCAAAATTAATTACACAAGGCAAACATCAAAATTTCCAAGCTTGGCTACAGAATTTTGCTGAGCAGGTATAAATAGTAATACTTACACAAACACACCAATAAAAAAAGTCATAGACTGGTTGTAGTTGGAAGGGTCTGCTGGAGATCATAGTGTCCAACCCGTCTGCTCAAAGCAAGGTCAACTAGAACAGCTGGCTAAGGATTGTGTGCAGTTAGGATTTTGGCGCTCTCCATCAATGGAGCCTCCTCAACCTCTCTGGGCCCCCTGGTCCCCTGTTTGACCACCCTTGCAGTTGTTAAGAGAGACACAAAAGGGGGATTTTCCCTATATTACATGGAATTTACGTATTTCAGTTTGTGGCTATTGCCTCTTGCCCTTTCACTGCACTGAGCACTACTGACAAAGCCTGGTTCTACTGCCTCCCCCTTCACCTTGTCACCCCAGGGCTGAACAAGCCCAGCTTTCTCAGCCTCTCCTTTTAAGTCAAGTCAGATGCTCCAGTCAGTTGTCTTGGTGGCCCTTTTCTGGACTCAGTCTATTACATCTGTGTCTGCCTCGTACTGGGGTGCCCAGAACAGGGGACAACAGTCCATGTGTGGCCTCATCAGTGCTGAATGGCAGGGGGAAGACTGGCCTCTTGATCTGCTGGCAGTGCTATTCCTAAGGCAGCCCACGGATACTGCTGGCCACCTGTGCCACAAGGCATCCAAAAACTGACTCCCGGGTCTTTTTCTGCAGAGCTGCTTTCCAGCTGCGCAGGCCCAGGCTGTACTGGTTATTCCTTCCCAGGTGTGGGACTTTGCATCTCCCTTTGCTGACAGTCGTGAGATGCCCGGCTCCTCATTTCTCCAGCTTGTTGACATCCCTCTGAATGGCAGCACAGCCATCCAGTTGTATCAACCACTCCTCTTGGTTTTGTGTTGCCTACAAGCCTGCTGAGGCTGCGCTGGGTCCCATTATCCAGGTCACTAATGAAGATGTTGTTACACAGTATTGGTCCCAATATTGGCCCCTGGGCTACACCCCCAGGTGTAGGGACTGACCTCTAGATGGATTATGTGCTGCTGAACTTTTTGAGCACAGCCATTCAGCTAGTTTGCAGTCCACTTATCTAACACATGCTTAATTAGTTTGTCTATGAGGATGTTATGGAAGACAGTATCAAAAGCCTTACTAAACGCAAGGTAAATAACATCCACAGCTCTTCTCTGCCAAGACATCACATAGTAGCAAGCTATGAGGTTGATTAAGCATGATTTCCCCTTCGTACATCTATGGTGACTACTTCCAATCACCTTCTTGTCCTTAATACATGTGTAAATGACTTCCAGGATTATTTGCTCTATCACGTTCCCAGGGACTGAGGCGAGGCTGATGAGCCTCTAGTGCTCCAGGTTCTCTTCCTTGCCCTTCTTGAACACAGGAGTGACATTTTCTTTCTTCCAGTCCTCAGGAACCTCCCTTGGTCCCCATGACCTTTCAAAGAGTATTGAGTGTGGCATTGCAGTGACATTGGCCTGCTCCCCAAGCATCCATAGGTGCATCCCCTCCAGTGCCATGGCATTGTCTAAGTAATTTGTTTAAGCGTTCCCCTAACCTGATCCAGCTCTGGTGAGGGAACTTGTCCTTTCTCCAGACTTTCCACTCATCTTGGGGCCCTCGAATTCCTGAAGGCAAGTCCTACCAGTAAAGGCAGCACTGAGTGCCTCAGCTATTTCTGTGCTCTCTGTTCGCAGGTCCTCTGCTCCACTGAGCACAGAGGGACCACATTTTCCTTAGTGTTCCTTTTGCTGCTGGTACACCTGCACAAGCCTTTCTTGTCCCTCGCCAAATTAAAATAAAGTATTTCTAATTAAAACATAGAATGAACATATGGGTATCTGGAATATGAAAAACACTCGCTGAAAAAAAACTCGTGAGCAACATAACCATATTGAAAATGAGTAAAGAGAACAGTGAAACACCAGCCAAATATGCTATCTCAATTCAAGAGAAATATTTATTGTTATTAATGCAGAAATGCTTGTCCAGCTTAAGTTCCTTTCCAGGACTTTTCCTTAGGACTGAGAAAATAAGCAAGTTGCTTTTTTTTTTTAAAACTCGTACACCCTCTACTGGACATTATATCCTACTGCTGCAAGAGGATAAACATGATCACCAAGGGAATGTTTGTTTCAAAAGACTATAATCCTCCTCTTTCTCTTGCTTTCAAAATCACTTCAGCTCAAGTCTCTCTTCAGGTCTTTGATACTAAAATACATAGTACTGTTTAAATCTACAGATATAGTCACAGTTGCAAAACAGCACAGAGAAGATTCTGGTTTTCCTCTTGCTCTTTGCTGTAAATTACATGAGTGTCACTCCCCTTTCAATTTCCAGACCAAGGAAGTCCACAAACAGGACTCAGCCACAGTATTCGCGGTAAGCTGCACTGAAGTCAGTGCAGTGACTTGGGTTTCCATTAGTGTAAGTGAAAGGAGAGCCATGACACTATAAAATCTAGGTATTGTACAGGACGGGAATGGCATAAAAGCAATTGATTTTTCCCAGCATTAAGTTTTAAAAAAGACACTTTCTTTTCTCTTTTGTTGGCACAGGAATCAACAATTTGCAGCCTATAGAAAATGCATGTAAGAAACTATTAGGAAAATGCACATCATTAGCTTGCTAGAAAAAAGCCAGTTCATCATGCTTAGTCTTGCTGCTCTGGTAACTGTGGAGATTCAGTGGCTTATTCTCGTGAGGAAGGCTTCTGAACACCCGCAGGTGCATGAACTCATCATTGCCAACATGGACCTGCAAAGCATGAAAACCAGTGAGTTCCATGGAGTAACAGCAGCCTTCAGCAGGCGGGATGGTGTAGATTTGTGTGGTTTGAGGATGGAGCAACAGAGAGGCAGTAAGAAAACCCATCATCTCAGAGGTGTGGTCATGTTTTAAACCAGAGTGGGAGTCAGGACTTTGTGGAAATACCACCCAATCCTTCCATGCCTGTTAATCCTCCCTGTGCCCAAGACAGGGAATATACAGGTAGGGAATCGGAGTTGCATAGAAGTGACTAATATGTTAAATACATGCAAAATGCTGTAATCTTATCTGGCACAAGCAGCACTTAAATGCTTTGACCACAGTTGCTTGTTTTTGTGTGTGGCATCACTATAGGCAGATTCAGAGCAGGTTTGATACTTCACTGTATCTTTACACGTCTGGAATTCATTTAATGCAATGTTAGTGCTCAGCATCACAAATGTGTAATTATCCCCAAAACCAAGTTTCACAAAATTATTACAAAAACAGGGAAGTACTCTTACATCCATTTAATACTGGCAGGGAGACAGGCTGGGAGGTGGGGGATGGATTTGTTTTGGTGTTTGTTTTTTTTTTTTTTAAATGTACACATTTTTTTTCTTATTAAGGCCAAATCATAAAGATCCTGCTGTAAGTAAAGAACAAATCCCA